CCCCAAAACCCCAAAACCCCAAAACCCCGAGAACCATCAAAATTTTAAAATGTGATAATAATTTGATTTTGTGTAATTGATGATAAATAATTTAACTTCTTAACTAGTAAGTAATTCAAAGACTACTTCTTCTATCACTCATGACTTCATATTAATCCATTCCATTAAGGTCGTAATCATGATTATGATGCTGTTGATGCTGCAGAGAATTCCTTTTACTCAATGCTGGGAGCATACTCTTTTAAGGACTGCCAATTGAGCCCATCAATCTTTGAGATTCACTGTGCAGATAAATCCTGTGTTACTCAATCTCATGAATTTTTTACAATTTCTTGCTAAGTTTAAGTTGTTTTTATTCGCTTTCCTCAACTGTAACCTTCAATAACTACTCCAAATTCTTCTGTCTTCTCACATCTTTGTCTGCCAGCTTTTAGTTTTTAGAATCTCTCTGAAGAGCTCTCATTTGTTAAAGATGCTCTTAAATCATCTTTTACTTATTCTCTTGTACAATGAGCTTTTGTAATGATTTTTTCTCAATTTCTTTTTAGACAAAGTCAAATTTTGGTAAGCTTGCTGCTTGAGCTTTTAGTTTTCTCTTACATAAATGATATTCTCTTAATTCTTAGCTTTGCTATTGCTTTCTTTATATTTTTTCCAAATTCTATCTTTGCAATTCACTGTATTTTCCTTTCTGCAAGGCAATTAAGGGGATATTAGAAGCGACTTAAGAAAAATTAGACTAAGAAATATTTGCAGATGTCTACTTTCTATTAGAAAGTTAAGGCACTTGCAAATGATTAATGGCAAAACTGTTTCTTAACTAGGATTTTTACTCTGTTGGACTTCCATTGATTGTAGTTTATGACCTAAACTTAGGTTTAGCCTATGTACTCAGATTCTGATTCTTCTCTTCTACCTTTAATTTCTTAGCACTTTATTGCATTTTTAAGATTTTTAATTTTTGCAAAGCAGATACTTTTTCTATTATTGTTGGCTGGCTTGTGGGTGATTAGTTTAAGGCCGACTGAACCATTGATCAATTATTCATAATTTCTTCTTAAATCGGATTTAGCTTGATCCTTGAAGAATTACTGCTATAAATATTTTGCCTGGATGTTTATAGATAATTTTTATCTTGATCTCCAAGTAAGAGACTAGTTTAAGTACTAGCTCTTGGAGACTTATTTTTCATATCATTATAAGTGAAAACACGAGCGTTTTCTAAATCAACAGATTCTGGAGACGATTTAAAAGATTTAGGCAAGGCTTTTTCATTTTCTATTTGCTCATAATATGACCTATAAGCTTTATTTTGTGAGCGTCTTGCAAGTATTCTAATCACATTTTTCATCTATTCATCTTGTTTCTGTTATATGTCTTCTTTTTTTGCTTTTTCTAGCACATATTATCCTACCTATTGCGACTTTGATGGACTTGAGTTTCTGCTAGAAACTCTTTTTTACTCACTTGTTGTGATATTGCTTCTTTTGGAATTAACTCTTCTTCTTGGACTGCTTTGTGCACTAATTATGATTCTATCTTTATTTAGTTCTTTATTTTTCATATCTCTCTCTGCATAGTTCTACATAAGCTCCTTCATTGTATCTAGTTGCATTTCATTCGTCCTAGCCTCAATATCAGCCTCGTTTTCCTTATTTTGCATAACTAATAGCTGAGTCAGTCCATTCTTTCTTGAAAAATGAGTTTATTCTTATGTTTTACAGCTAACCTTTCTAGCAAGTTAAAGTGATTTCTCTTTGTTGAAACTGCAAAAGTATGAATTGAATAAAAGCATTTTTTTTACTTTTCTGATCTCAATTGTAGGAACTTGAGTGCATTTTCAAAATCCTTATCGCTTTGATCTTTCTCTAACTTAAAGCATTGTCCAATACTGAATAATCACTCCCTAATTCATTTTAATATCATGCATGTTTTACTTCTTTCTTATTTCAAATGGTAAAATTCTAGAGTCTTGAGTCATTGCTAGAGCTCTTTCATATGATATCTTTTTGTTTATTTTCTCTCCTCCCATATAGCCATTAATAATATCCCAAGAGTATCCCATATCTATAATACTTAATGGAATATTAGAGCTTACTTGTAAAATCATACTTGTCTGTATCTACAATTCTTTCTAGCCTTTTTATATCGGACTTGTTTGCATTTTAAGACACATTTTTCTCAAGACTATCAATCTTAGGTTCCTTAATCCTTACCTTCTTGGATACCTTTTTAGAAATAGAGTTATGTAATGAGGTTGAATTCTTAGCTACAAGCTCAGTGAAATTTTCCTCATCTTTAACAACAATCTTATAATGCTTTTAGCTTTCACTTCTCTTCATAAGACTATTTTCATGTCCAAAGTCTTTTTTTAGCTAATCTCTTATGATTGCTCTCTTCTTAAAGGATTCAATATCCTCTTAAAGATTCTCGCTGATAGTAGATCTTAGTCTGCTACCGCTAGCTCCCTTTTAAATCCATAAATACATAGAAGGATCCTTTTCTAGCACTTCCATAATTATTTACTCCTTTCTAATTTCCTTATTAGATCGGTCTTGGACTATTTTATTCTTAAACTCCTCAGTCTCTGAAACTTTATGCATAAAGACCTGATTTGATCTCTGAGTAACACTTTTATTTTTGATTTCCGCTTTATTCTTGATATCGCTTATATGCTAATCATGTAATATTTTAGCCTTCAATGATTTCTGAACTGTTTAATTTTTACTTCTTTTCATCTCAGATTCTAACATATTGTTCATCTCATACCTCTCCTTTGCCATATTCAATGCCATTTCATTTTTCTTCTTCAAATACTCACTTCTTGACTTAATAATAGTTTGCTTAAATTCTTATTTCTATTCCATAATCTCTTATTGCCTCTTTTCTCTTTCCTCATGAACCTTTCGATACTCATCCAAGCTATTCTTCATTTTGGCTTTCGCAAATTTAATTCGCTCCTCTTCTTCGACTACATGCTGGTGATATTTTTATTTTTTTTCTTTCATTGTTTTAGAATGATTAACATCAGACTTTTCAAATTTATTTACAATCTTTAACTTACTTTGAAGACTTGATTGAATAAGTTAAGCATTTAGCTTTTTATTTTTCTAATCAATCTTCTCTGTAAGGGAAAGATTTCTTGAAGGAGAGAGTTTTACTCTATTCATATCGTAGTTTAAATTAGCTTGAGTCATTGCCTCCTTGCCTACATTATAGTCCTTAAACATAGACTTTATATGATTTCCTCCTGCATTGTGTTCTGGAAGATTTGCAACGCTATGAGCTCTTTAATGAGCATAAGGAATTCGAGGTGGTGAATAAGTCTGATTATTTTGTACATTCTCCATTTCTTTAGCTAAAAAATTTAATTCCTTGCTCAAGCCAGTAAGGGGCTTGTAATTTATATCTCTAGCTGTCTTGATTTATTTTCTTAAATCTGAAATCTTACTTGTTTTTCGAGTATCACTCGTAAATTTGGCAGCAATTAGAGCCTTGCTAATTCTTTTTTTTGTCTTTAGAAGTCCTGAAATGTCATTATTCTTCTAATCCTCTTGTTAATATCTCAAGTCATTTATGTGAAGAGGAGGTTCTTTTTGAAAGACTGTTATTTTATTTGCCTGAATAAGCTGCTTTGTTTGATGGTTGTCAGAGCTAGATATATGAGTTTTCAAAATGATATCCTCCATTTTTTTCGGTTTAATGTATTTTAGATACTCTATTGACTATTAGTGCTGTAGATTCTGGTCTTAAAGCTTTATAGTGAAAGGACTATAACGAACTTCACCTTCCTTGATATCAATAGTATCAAGAATTTTTTAATCCATTTTAATTAATTTTATATTAGATTCCTTGGAGTTTTAAACAACTGATTCAACTATTAATATATTGCATTAAAATTATAAGCCATTAATAATTAAACTTTAAAATATTTCTACAGTAATCCAACTAGCTTCTCATTTTTCTTGTACTATCCAATAAAATTAAAATGACATAATATGTGAAACAAGTATGGGAGAAAGTCTTTGAGCCTGACCATGAAAAGCATCCTAAGTTATGTTAGGAGTCAAGAGAGATGTTTAAGTCTTGTGTTAAGGAGTCTCATTGTTTTAAGAACACAGAAGATTTCAAGAAATGTGCCCAAGAAGATATAAACTCTGAATGCATTCCTTATAGAGTAGACTTCTTCAGATGCAAGAGATTTATGATTGATAGAACTAAAGATTTCAGAAGAGATCCTAGACATGGAATATGAATAAATTAGATTGAGGTAGAAACTTTGTGAATGATTTTTAATTTCCTTTAAATAAATTTTCAGAGCTATCTACTAAAACTCTAAAAAATAATTCCATTGCAATTTTATAATAAAGTCTATTATTATTAAATTTAGCTTATTAAAATTCAATGAAAAATTCTTAAAAAAGGAATAGTACTCAAGATAAGCATCTGATTAAAAATGACAATAGGCCAACTAATTCCCTTGGCTTTTTTAACTGTGGATTTGTAAGAACGATACATATATGTGCTGTTTTATTCAAATTTAGCTTAGCTGCTGGGGAACATTCAACCTGAAAAATTGAAATACAATAATATCCAATCAAGAGGAGACCAACTCATAGGAATAGACTGATAGTTCAAATACAGTAACTAGTCAATCCAATGATAAATCAGATAACCATAAAAGTATGGGTTCTAGTAGAGAATCAAATATTCATAAGAGAAGTCAATCTGCTATTAAAGGGAATAGCAGTAATTAATTGAACTCGCACAGCTAAAATACCTATGGCAAGTAATCTCAATTTTCGTTCTCACCTCTTAAATAAGGTATCAAATATCTGAAATTAATGTAATTAGAGTAATAGAAAAACGGCTAAGTAATAGTAACCAATAAAATTGAGAATGAGGAAGAAAAAATCCAGTTAATCAAAGTAAAATCTGAAACTAATAAGCAAATTAGCCAAAGCAATGGTCAGTTGAGCAGTATTTTAAATATCAATGCTAAATATAATTAAAATAATCATGTTCAGAATATCACCAACTATGATATCATTAATAGGATATCATCAAAGGAGTAACTTAACAAGATTCTATCAAATCTATCCAATCAACATAATGTAAGTTTAATTTAATTCAAGTGATTTTTACGATTATAGGGATCATAACATAAAATCTAGGACAAATTATTTAATGGTACGGACTAAAATAATGGTATCCCATAAGCTAGTACAAATGATACAGTAGATTAATAGAATAAAATCATACTAGTCAACAACCAAGAATACGCATAGAAGGTTCTTGATGCAATACTAATCTAGTCTATGGCTAAAATAAATTTAAGAGTAATAGATGGGAAAGCACTTGATCCCCCTGAATTATCCATAAATGGGCACGGTCTAGAAAATATCTAGGGATTAAGAGGCCAAAATGATGGAATCGTTTACTTCGGTGCTAAAAGGTATGATAAAAATGATGATCTAGATAATTATCCCTTTAATGACTATGTCTTTGAGCAGGATCCTGATGATTTCATCAACTACTTTGGTGATAGACATTTCATGATCTAGTATGATTACGGTAAAAATAATAATGGCCTAATCTTATTATAGATGCTAACAGATATTTACTAAGAGATTCAGGGATGGGTTCAGGGACGTTTTTGAAGATTCAAAGAGATCATATCTTGAAATCAGGTTAACTAATATCAATAGGCAAAGACTTAAACTTCCTAGTTGTAATAGATAAACAGACCAATGATGACAGCTTTGTAAACGAAAATATGTTTAACGAGAACCAAGAGTATAATCCAAATAATATCTCAGCAGCATCAAATGATTTGAATCAGATTATTTAAAACATATCTATAAACTTTGTGGAGAACTTACTTAGCAAGAATGATTCTTCGCTTCTGTCATAAGCAACATTAAGGAGATAGCATTAGTTTACATAAAACGACGTGCCAATTTTAATTGGAAGAACATAGGAATGCAAAGTACGATTTAAAGAAGGGGCCTTATCTCGACTGTAATGCCGTATTGACTTCATTGATAATAAGTGGATTCTAAAGGATGGAAATGGAAAAGATAAAAAGAGTACCAATGGGACTTGGCTTTGGGTATCTTAGCCTCAGTAGCTATAAGATTTTGATATTTTTAAGGCTGGCAACGCAATATTCTAAATCAATTATACATAGTATTGAGTCTTTTATAATAAGTTCATTTGACATCTTTAAGTAATAGATATGAGCTGAGCACTCAGGTTTTTTGAAGTTGAATATAATTAGTAAAATTAACAGCAAATATATAATTTACTAATAATATATAAATTCAAATTCAAAATGGATTAATCACTCTCTAGAGATTTCTATGAATCTTCAAATAATAATTTACCAAATATTGATCGCTCTTAATAAAATTATCAAAAGGAACCTAAAGTAGAAGAATTCAGTAAATACACATAACATTATTGACGATGCTATAGAATTTATGTTTGAGGATAGAGAGGTAGATGAAAGGTTTTTGCATAAATTAGAAGTAATAGGAGTGCTGAGGGTAAGTTTGATAGATCTTAATTAAGATTTAGGGTAATTTGGATCCTCTCACTTAGTATGTTGATGAGATAGCTTATAAAAATTTAGACTATAAAATGAGAGATCATCCAGATCCAACTGTAGGAAAAATGATTAAAATATAACAGTTAGGAGTCCAATACCTGTTATTTCTTTAAGAGCTTTAGAAAAAGAAAGCTGAGATTCACAGTTAGTATTCAAACTATGAAAAGGAAAATGCAGCTAAACTAAAGTTATTTAAGAAAAAATAGGATGAAAAAATAAAGGATTTAGAGAGGAAAAATGATCATGCAGAATATATGATTAATATCTATGAAGAAAAATTAAAGAAACTAAGACATATAAAGAAAGCTAGCATTTGATAAGCCAATTCATCCTTTGTAAATAATAATTATTTAATTTGATTATTGATTTTTTTAAATAATGTTTAATGGCATGGGGTTTTGGGGTTTTGGGG